CAGCAGGAGACAGAGCAGGGGATAGATAATTCTCCCTCACAGAGGTGATCAGTGAACCTTTTTTCAGAAGGGGAGTCTGTGTTGCCCAGTGAAATGGAGAAATGCCCAGGGAAACAGGGGAAGCGTCAGATGCAAAGGTATGGAATGTAGAAGATTCCAGCATGGAAGGATGCAAAATTTGGAAATGTACCCCATGGCCCTTTGACTCAGAATAAAGACACCAGAAGCAGGGAAGGGAAAGAAGGCTTTCTTCTCCCTCTTTTCTCCTCCTCTTCCTCTACCTGCCTCCTAGGGATACCTGAGTGATTACAGTACAGAGGGGTTTGTTCTCCTTCCCTGATCCAGGCCCGCCGAGAGGGAGGTCTGTGTGACTACTATCTGAGAAATGTCTCAAGGTGTCGAGGGTGACACAGGTATTGTGGAATGTAAGAGGGAAGAATTAGGGAAGACTTCCTGGAGGAGAAAATATATAGGGCAAGGAGGAGCTTTCCTCTTCCCGTCCTTCCCTTTGGGGCTTCTTCTTGGTAACAAGTGCCACGTGTTACATCGGTCTGTGTTCTTACCTGGCACTGTGTTCTTACCTGGGGGCAGATGTCATCTTCACCTCCCATTCTGCCCTCAGGAAGTGAGCTCCAGGAGGAGGGGTGACTTTCCCAAGGTCGCACAGCTGGGACTGAGCTCAGACATCCCTCTTTCCTCTCCTCCGCTCCCCCTCCTCCCAGGCAGCCAGGCACCCGCTGTCAGCTGCTCTGAAGTGAGTGGCTATTTTTATTCTGGTGCGAGGGGATCTCAGGCAGCAGAGCCATGTAGGTTAGAAGGCTCTAGGACATCCGGCTTTGCAGGCAAGGAGACACTTACCTCGGGAACTGGGTCTACTAAGCTAACCCGGGGGCTTTCATTTCTTGCAAGGCATCCTGTCCTACTCTTCCATGTCTCCAGAAACTTCTTTATGGGAGTCCAGACAGAGCACAGACCCAGACTAAGCCCTTGTTATGGCTTGTTCCCGATCCAACTTGAGCTCTATTTGGTGTTAACTGAGCCCTGACCCCATGTTGAGACTCTGACCATGGTGGATTCTGACTCTAGTCACACACTAAGTCCTGATCCAAGCCTGACAAAGACTGAATCCAACATGAGACATCAGTTTTGGTCCTAGGTCGAGCCCTGTTCCTAGCTTAAGACTGAGCACGTCAGAGACTGAACTCTTAAGGGTGGTCTAGACTAATTGATTTTTGACTAACTGACAGACTCCAGGTGTGGTCATCTACTGAACTCTAAACCTTGTGACTGACTAAGCTCTGAGCCTAATTTTGGTCATAGACTAAGCCCAGAGCATAAAATTGACTGAACCATGAACTTAAACTGAGGTCTGACCTGGGTCACACCCTGACCTTAACTGTGCACTGAGTCTGGTCAAAGACCTGAGCCCTGAGCATAGTCAGAGACTGAACCTTGATCCTGGTCACAGATTAAGGTGAGCCCCACTCTGGGCCCTGACTCAGTTCTAAACCTGGCTTTAGGCTAAGGGCTGACCCTAGCCTTGTCTTTCTTATCCCATCAAAGATTAAATCCCAAATCCAGCTCTACCTGAGGAAGGCTGCTGGCCTAGATTACCACCTGTCACATAAGGGCATGGATCTGTTCTGGGAGATACTAGGCCTATCATGGTGGCCAAAGCCAGAATGTTCCGGTACTGTTATGGCTGTGTCTCTGCAATTGGTTTCACTGACTGGGGAGTGAACTCTCAGCAGCCTGGGCTGTGGCCCTTCTAGGCCACAGTGTCCAGGTTAATGCAATGAGAGTGCTTTGGTGGCATTTGTCCAGTGTACAGTGTGGGCCCATGGGGGCCTGAGGTTTGGCTCTGTTAGCAGAAAAACCACAGGCTCTATGAGGCCTCTGGTTTCAGCCACTCTGAGGCCTTTGCTGGGATGTGGGATGGGGTAGTGGGAACCCAAGGCTTGTAGACCACTATTTTTGCAAAAGTTTACTTTTATGTTTAGATGATATATTTTCATTACAGGAAATACAGGCCAAAAAAAAATTCACCTATAATGTCATCTACATTGAGATAAGCATTTTGATTTCTCAGGTTGTTTCTTTCTAGAGTTTGTTTTTTGGTCCAGGATTGTATATATGCATATTTTATAAAACTGGTTGACTACCTGTTGCTGCTACAATATCTATTGTAGTCCATGTCTTTCTCAACAAGCTTTAGGAATGGGTCCCAGTTAGTTAAACCAATGAGCAATTCCCATTTTCCCAGACACATGTTTATATCAAGGCTGAACTGTGAGATATAAAGAGACTTCTACTCAGGGTTTTTTGGGAAAGAAAGTTGTTTTCTCTCCTAAGAGGTTGCCAAACAAAGATGACTTCTTGATTAGATGTGAATGAGGAAGACTGTGACCCTGATTATAGTGGTCACACCTCAAAACCATGCATACAACTGGCCTCATGATAAGCAGATGCTATGAAGGACAGAATGTTGTTTTAAATATGTATCTATTGGGCCCTCCCTGGTGGCACAATGGGTTAAAGCACATCATCATGAATCTTGCTTCAGCCACTTCACTGCAAGTTCAATCACCAACCAGGGAGCTGACCCACATGGCGTGGCAGACCTCTCCTGACCCACCCACTGCTCCCCTCAGCAGTGTACTTCGCTGATCTGCTGTTCTTCTCCCCACTCTGCCTCTGGTGAATCCTCTCACCACTCCTGCACTCTGGCCTGCATCACAGATCTGTATGCACAAATAAATACATCCTTTTTTTGCATACAGGAGTACAGGATAGAGATGCAGGGGCGGTGAGAGGATTCACCAGAGACAGAGTGGGGAGAAGAACAGGCAGGCTGACTAAAATACACTGCTGAGGGTTGCAGTGGGTGAGACAGGAGCAGTCTGCTGCACCATGTCGGTCAGCAACCTGGCCAGGGATTGAACTTGCGCAGCAGCAGCAGTGGCTGTGAACAGATTCACAGCGCTGCACTTTAACCCATCGTGCCACCAGGTGTCACCCTTGGAGACTTCGTAACCCAGATTGAACCTTACCAGAATCCGCTCTTGCCAGTAGACATTTTTGTTAGTTGAGTCAAAAGATTTTCCCCTTATTGTCCAAGCAAGTTAAACTTCTGTGACTTGCAGCCTATAGCATAGCAACTCCCAACTGACATTACTATTTCATAACAAAAAAAAATTAATACCATAACAGTGAATTTAAAATTTAATAAAATTAAAAATTAAAATGTAATACCATATCAATGAATATAAATAACATTCACCAGGTTATTTATCACTGTGCTACATCATTTTAAACAATAGCATGATTTTTGTGTGTGTATGTGTATAGAAGAACTGGTGTGTAGGCCAGAGGTACAGGGGGTAAGAGGATTCACCAGAAACAGAGCGGGTGCAAAACAGGTGGTTTACTGAAATACACTACTAAGGGGAGCAGTAGGTGAGACAGCTGAGGTCTGCTGTGCCATGTGGGTCAGCTCTCTGACTGGGGATTGAACTCAGGCCAAAGCAGTGATAGTGTTGAGGTTTAAACACTAGGCCACCAGGGAGGCCCCCAATCGCATGGTTTTCTAACCTATTAAGGTGCCATCATTCCCCTTCTGTGATGTACTTAAGCTGTGTCTTTGGTTTTTCACTATGTTAAGCAGTGTTTTGATAAACAATATTGACTCAGAAATTGATCCCCTCTCTTATTGATTAATTTGAATCAAACTGTCCTTCTGAAAGCTTGGAGGAATTCATACTCCCACAGCAGAAAGTAGTGTAGACATAGCCTATTACAATAGCCTGGACAGAACCAATTGCATTTACAGCGTCCTTGTTTATTTATAGAGAATGGCTATTAAATAATAACTCTAATCCTATTATTAAACCATTGCAATCAAGTCAGTGGATGGAGGTAGCAGGCCTAACGAAGCAAAGGGCTAGGAACTAGCGAGATGCTGAAGAGGCTGAATGTTTAGGGCCTGTGAAAATGTTTTAACTTTAATTTATTTTAAAATCAGAAGTAAGGGGCCTCCTGGTGGTGCAGGGTTAAGTCTCAGTGCCGGCACCACGGTGGCCTGAGTTTGATCCCTGGCTAGGGAGGTGACCCATGTGGCATGGCAGACCTCTCCTGTCCCACCCACTGCTCCCCTCAGCAGTGTATTTCAGTAGGTCCACCTGTTCTGCTTCCCACTCTGGTGACTCCTCTCACCCTCCACACCTCTGGCCTATACCCCAGTTCTTCTATACAAAAATAAATAAATCAATCCTAACACATCTAAAAAAAAATCTGAAGTGAAAAATAATGACTGTCTAATGATGAGCCCAGCCTAGATTACAATCATCTTTCAAATCAAAAGTAGTTATAAAATCAAATTATATTACTTACTTAAATTTTATTATTACTATTATTATTGGAGGAAGGGGCCCAGGGCCTCTCGGTTTGATGTTGAGAAGGAACTGAGTCCCAATATAGATTCACTGGCAAAGGGCACTCCGGTCCATTTGCTGTGTCTGCCTTAAGCTTGAAGGGGGAAGAACCATCCTGAGCTAGTCAAATTTGCTTTAGTGAGAAAAGCACAGAGACAGCTGTGCTCTGACTCCCAGACTGTCATTTGTATCCTTTCACCTTTGAGTCTTTCTATTTTCTGGAAACGGAATTCATGGGACCTTTACGAGATAAGGAATGAAATAATTAAAGCTAACGCTAAAGGGCTTCATATGTATTAAACCTCTCATTCTCTCAGCTCCTACTGAGCATGTAATATTCCTAGCGCCCAGTGTGTTTCCCATAGATTTGAAACCCTAATCAGAGTTTCGTCTGGAGAACTAAAAAATAGAAACGAGGCTGGCTTCCCCAGGTATCGGTTTCCAGGTTCTTCACCGCTCAGAAGCCCCTCGGCCGTTTGCATCCCGCCGGCGCCCTCTGCCGGCGCGAGAGGGCACTGTCTGGCCACCTGCAGCTGAAGCGTCCTCGCTCTCGGTCGGCAGAGGGAGCGTGGACCCTTTGGTGCTGGGGACATACAGGACTGAGGGCCAGAACGGAGCCTGAACCCCGCCCGCAGCTAGTGGGAGGCCACCGAGAGGGCCTGGGGCGGAGACCCAGAGCTGGGAGGGTCTCCCGAGGGCCGGGCCCAGCCCGCGAGCCCAGACGTGGCGCAGTGGCCCGGCGACTCTCCTCCAGCCGGCGGACTGTCCGCGGTGGCTTTCGATGATCCTCCAGCTGCCTCCGCGGCCTCTGTGGCTGTTATTCGCGGCCCTCGCGGCCGCCACCACTACCTTCCGGCCCGACTGGAACCGTCTGCACGGCCTGGCCCGAGCCCGGGTAGAGGTGAGTGTGCGGCCGGGGAGCGCAGTCCCTCACCAAGGCCCTGTAACCCTGCGGATTTCGAATTTCCCTCAGTGCCAGGACCATCGCTCCCGCTCCTCAGGTTTAGAACACCCCAGACACCAGATTTTGCTGCCTGGAAATATAATCTCCTTCCCAAGTCCCCATCTGGCCAGATAAAGGCCCCCCACCCTCCCTCGACCCTTTCCCCCCTCCACCCACATATAAACGCTGGCTCGTCCTCACTCTTCTACAGGCCTATGGCTTTCCCAAATCTAGTCTCTGGGGCCCAGCTTCCCATCCTCCCATTACTCCACTTTTTCTTGGAATTCCCATTTTTCCAGGGTCTCTGCCTTGGGTAGGGAAGACTTTCTGGGCACATCCCTACACTCACTACACAAGAGCCAGACAAGGGGCTTGGGAGCTGCAGTACCGAAGCCAGCCAGCCGCAGCAACCCCTACGCTCCCCCCTGCCAAGAAATTCCCTGCCAGAGTGTCTTGCTGTATGACTTAGATCATCACATAGGGCCTTCTCTGGGCCTTAGTTTTGTGTGTGACAAAGGGGAGGGAGCACAGGAGGGAAGATTGGGCCAGTGGTTGTGGGGTCTGGACAACTGCTTAGAGGTGGTCCCCCTCAGAGAATGCAGGGAAGGGGCCCTCTCTGTTCAGTGGAGTGTGGGCCAGATGGCAGGTTTCACCAGTGGGGATCCCCCATGGCAGTGTGGAGCTGTTTGCTTCTGATTTGTCTCCCTCCTGTGATTCCAGGGGTCAAAGGCCAGGCCCAGGCAGGTCCCGACTGTCTAAAAGGGGTAGGGTGTTCCTTTCTTTTGGGCCTTTAGGAGTGAGCAAACAGTAAAGATGTGTAAGCAAGACCTCCAACGCTGGAAATAGCCCTTTGGGTCTCTGGTCTTTCTCTTCCTTTCCTCTGGTGTCCCGAGGCCTTAGTTTCCCCTTCTGAACAGAGCTCCCCTGTGCCTTGGGGTCATTCACGTCCTGACCTAACTTGGTGAAATAGCCCTGAGGGTATGGTTGGGGCAGATGCCAGGGACTCCTGACCTAACCCATTTTGTCCTCCTCCAGACGTGTGGGGGATGACAACTGAATCGCCTGAAGGAGGTGAGTGAAGGAAGGTTGGCCCCAGGTCTTGGGGGGTGGGCAACATGGGCCTAGTGATCAGGGGGAGAAGATCCCTGGACAAGGAGTCAGGAGTCCACGCCTGCCTGGCTGTTGGCCTCACCAGACTTCAGTTTCCCTTTGGTCCCTGGAGGGGCTGAGGTTTGGGGTCTGATGCCCTGGTTCCTCCCCAGGTGAAGGCCTTTGTCACCCAGGACATCCCATTGTAGTATCCTTTTTCTGTTCTGGGGAAGGGAGGATGGAGAGGTTAGCTGGGCAATCTGCCAGTTAACTTCACAGAGATAACAAATGTTTTCACCTGACAAATGGAGTTGATAGTGGCTGTCCAGAGAATACGGAGGTGGTCTCTAATTTGGGTGGGCGAGAGAAACTGACTAGCGATGAGTGCCACAGAAACTGGAATGGAGAGCAGGGCCCTCCACTGTTTACCCTAATTTCCTTGCATAAATGAGAACCCCCTCTGGGCAAATGTGGCAGAGTGGTCCACATCGGCCAGGCGCCAAGGCCCCCACCTACCAGTCCACTGCTACCTACCTTAACACCACCTCCAGCCACAACCTGGTAATGAAACACCTCCCAGGCGCCGACCCAGAACTGGTGCTGCTGGACCACCGCTATGAGGAGCTGGAGGTGAGGCCTGGGGAGGCGGGGCTACCGGGAGGTGAGGCCTGGGGAGGCGTGGCTACAAGGAGGCGTGGCTACCGGGAGGCGTGGCTACCGGGCGAGGGGCGGCCCCGGCGCGCTAACTACCCTCCTCCCTCACTTCAGCGAATCCCACTAAGTGAAATGACCCGCGAGGAGATCAACGCGCTCGTGCAGGAGCTCGGCTTTTACCGCAAAGCGGCGCCCGACGCGCCTGTGCCCCCCGAGTACCAGCGGGCGCCCGCTAGGCCCGCCGAAGACGCTCCTGACCACTCGGATTTGTAGGTCCAGGCTCGTGATACCATCCTCCCACTCTTCCCCTCCCCAACGCCCGAGCCCTGGGGACAGAATGAAGCGCTCAGCGTCTCGGGAGCACCTCCCTCGTTGGGTGTCGACACCCCGCGTCCCCAAGCCAGCAGGGATGAGTTGGGGGTACCCCTTTACTCCTTCCTTCTCTTCCTAGCACCATTAAATCTTCTTAACTGAGACTCGACTCCTTCCTTGCTACGGGAGGGTGGGAAATAGGAATCCTCCAATAACCCTGGAGACCCAGTATCCCCTGCTGCTGAGCTGATGGATCTGGGGAGGAGGCACACCTTGTCGAGCTATTCTCCACCCAACCCTCCAAGAGAGGCAAGAGTCAGGAGTCAGGATCGTTGAAAATCAATAATTTATCAAAACGCTGCGTGTGCAAGTGGGGGAGGGTATCGCGACAGATAGGGGGGGTGGCAGGTGCAGAGGGAACGGTGCCTGGACGTGGGGGCAGATTGCCAAGGCCGGCAGGGCGCGCGCGGAAGCCTAGACATTCTTGCCACGCATGCGCAGCTCATGGCGCCGCAGGTGGTTGTAGAGCGACTGCACATAGGTGAAGACGCACTTGGGGTCGGGCTTCTTGCCCATGATCATCATGTCCTCCACCTCCACGAGGGGCACGCAGTCCACCAGCATCCTGCAGAAGGGGGCACGGGGATGGTGGTCAGCGCCGGTCCCGCCCCTTATGGCGACCCTGTACCGGGGTCTTTTCCATGGCTGTAGGCTGCTGGTCTTCCACAAAATCTTTATCTGCTGAAGGAGCAAAGCCTTCCAGGTAGGCAGGAAAATCCAGGCCTGCTTACTCAAGCCTGGAGGCACCCATGTAGGGAGCAGGGCCCAGCAGGTGTAGACAGGTTGGCAGGAGGGAGGGGGTGAACTGTGGCCCATCCCAGTAAGACAGGGCCCTAGCCCTGGGAGGTGCTGACCCAGGCCTTCTCTCTGGAGGTGGGCCTCCTGTTCACTCTCCAGCCCACACAAGCCTATTGGGCCATTACATCTGAAGGGGCCTGACCACTGGCAAACTGCAGCCAATGAGCACTCGTGTGAAGTGAGTTTGTTTTGGCAGGAAGGCTTAAGGGCAGGAATTATGTGGTCCCAAGACAGCCAACGGTTCAGCACTTCCTCCCATATTGTGCCTTCATGGTCAATCCTGGCACCTTGGGAGGGCTGGGACCTAGCCCCGGCTCACCTAGACTCCTTGAGGGAAGAAGCCTGGGAAGACTTCTGCCAGACCAGGTTTTACTGCTGACTATGTGTGGGTGCTAAAAGTACCCATAAAGCCCTGCCCTGTGACTCAGTTTCCCCACCTTTATAGCAACAGTATATTCTCAGCCTCTGATGAGACCTTGGGAGCCCTTCAGATGAGTGAGGGATTCCTGACTCAGCTGCTGATGCCCTATATACCCTTAGGGTTGTCCCTGCCCCTCCCCCTGGTGTTTCTCCCTGGCAGAGAAAGTTTCTCTCTGCAGCTTCTTCCAGCTGTGGCTATCTCCCCAGGGATTCCTGCCTCCCTAACCCAGATTGGAGCTTCCTCCCACCCCTGGTGTCTTCCCTGGAGACCTTATAAAGCCATTGTTTAGACCGGACTCAGGCTCAAGGCTCCAGCTGCCCCAGTGACAGGCCAAACACCAGGCAATTTGAGCATCAGGATGGCTGAGTCACACTTTCCAACTGGATCAGGGCCGGGCTGGGCCCCTCTCCCTCCAGACTGGCCCATTGGGCAGCAGCTCCTAAGTCCATATATGACTTGGAGACAACACCAAACCCATCCTCCCGTCACCTGCATGAGGCTTCTCTGCGTTTATATATGTACATATGGGCTGGTGCCCACAATTGCTCCAGGCCCCACAGGGCCTGTAAGTGCACCCCTAGTTCTGTCCTGATGCTATTACTTCTGGCCATCTCCTAGCTCCCTCCTCTGTAGAAAGAAGGTCCTTTTTTCTTTCTACAAAATGGGTAGAAAAAGAGATGGGGTAAGAAACCTTGAGCCACTGAACGGGGGTTGGGGGTTCCAGTGAGTGGCCCCTGCTCTGACCTCACCCACAAATCCGATCTGGGCACTCTGAGCCCACCTATCCACCTATCCTGGCCTGGAATGGCCTGTTCTCTCAGGATTGGGATTCAAGGGGATTCTCTGTGGCCTTGAGGTGAGGTTACCAGAGAGGAAGTGTCACAGCCAGCTTGGGAATCAGGACCCCAACCAGAAACATCTTCCTATTTAAATGGCCCTCAGTCTTGAGCTTCCCAACAGGGAGCCTGGCCCTGCAAATTCCTAGTGCCTAAAGTGGAGGCAAGCAACTTTGTGGACCCTCCTCCCTACCCGAACTGGACTCATCAGGAAGCCTGTCCTATTCAAGCTGCTCTATCTATTATAGTGTATTTCCTCCCCTTCCCTTACCCAAGGGCTATTTTAGAATGCTAGAACATTCTGGAAACCTTTCATGACTCTTGTCCTCAGGTAGAAGTTCGGCTGCATCCTCTTCTCCCTTACACCTAGAACATAACTTCTTGCCCTTTCTGAGTACGCCATACTCTTCATCTCTCTCAACCGTAGCTCTGTGCCTAGGCTGACCTCTGCCTGGGACTCCCTCTTCTTCCTTTACCCTGCACTTGTTCAGATCCCAGCCTAGTTTGCACCTTTTTTTCAGGCTGCTGTCCTAGATTTGCCGGTGTGTCAGCTGCCTCCACTGGGTTCCCAGTCTCCTAGGCTACCTCCCTCTCAGACCTGCTCACCTGGGTTTTCGCTGCCACCTGCTAGGTATCACCTGCTAGGTCTTGAATGACCAGGAAACAGGGTCTTAGTTGGCTCTTCCGGCTCCTCTCAGGGCCCCTGTTCCCCCACCCACTTCAGTCTCTCTGTGCCCTACTGAACAGATTCCAGCATAACGGGGAGAGGCGGGCAAGGCGGCATTTCTCACCGTGGGGCCCCAAGCAGGGGTTAGGACTTTTTGGTTTTTACCAGCCCCTTCTGGACCAGACAGCGGTAGAACTCCTGGATGTACGTGTACACGCACTTCCAGTCAGGCTCTCGAAGCCGCACCATGTCCTCTGTGTCCAGGAGCTGCGGGCAGTCCGCATGGGTCCTGGGGAGGGTAGGGGGCCGGGAAGGGGCGGGGTGGTGGGGCCCGGGTGGGGAAGAGGCAAAGAAGAGAGAGGGGAGGAAAACAGAGAGACACGCACATACACACACACACACAGAGACATGAGTTCAGTTACGTTCTCAGTGCTGCAGTCTGCCAGCCCCCCGCATGCCCCCTCCCCATTGTGGACGTGCCGCTTACTACCCATCACTAATGGTGTGCGATGCAGACAGGGGTGGGGGGCCAGACCAGTCACAGGTGCAAAGAACTCTTGGGACAAGCAGGAACTCGGGGTGGGGGGCAATGGCATTGATGCCAAGGTTGGAGAGGGCTGTGCCCCAGGGAGGGGGGTGAGGGAGGCGTGAGAGGAGGTGGAGGGAGAGAAAGAGGAGGAAATCTAGGAAGGGGAGTAGGGGACCAGAAAGAGAAAGGGCGAGAAGACAGAAGGAAGAAGGTGCTGAGAGTGAGGTGAGCAGACGGGGCAACGATTCCAAAGTGGAAGGCTTGTTGATATCCTATATAAGCCTCTGGCAACACCTATATAGGCTGGGCGGGCACGGTGCCCGGGCCAGGAGCCTCCTTTTGGAATCTCCAGCCGGGATCCCGTGGGAGCAGGAAGCTCTGGTGATGGTGGGAGGAGAGCAGGACAGAGGAAAGGAGAGAAAGAGGGCGGTTGGAGGGGACATGGGCAGGGCCACCTGGTGGGCCTTGACTGGGGCTGGTAGGCGGGCCGGCGGCTCCTTCGTTCCGGCGGCACCTGGCGCGCTCAGCAGCAGGTGGGTGGGGCGGAAGAGGACAAGGGGCTTTCTGGGGAAGGGGGTCTCAGCTGCTGTCTGACTGTGGCTGACAGCTCCAGGGGTCCTCAGGGCATCTGGACCGGCTCAGAAGCTCAGCCCCAGATGCCCAGCCGACAGCAGTAGGGCTGGGGCCCAGACTTACTCAGCAGATGAGAAGGCCACCTCAAAGTTCTGGCGCCGGTTCTGTGGGTTCAGCTGCCCATAGTCAAAGGCTTCTGGGAAGAAGTTGTGAACCAAGGCACAGAAGGCCATCCCGTCACTCCAACTTGAGGAGAAGTTCTGGATGTCCACGTGCTAGGGGTGGCGGGAGGACGGGTCAGTTCCCGCATGCCGTCTAACCCACCCAGCATTCTGACATTCCAGATACAGGGCAACTGGTCTCAGACAGACTCTGTAGCTTGCTCAAGGCTGCATAGCAGGTGAGGAAGTCATCTCGTCAACTCTCTTGTCTCCTATTTAGGGGGACCAAGTGACCAAGAAGTCCAGCACCACCCACCCTAGGCCATGATCATGCCCTCTCCACTCCTATCCTTACTTACAGAAATTTACCCAATGCTGTGCACAAGGCAATGAGCAGGGAACTGGGGGGG